CTTACGTCCATTATTGGATACAACTCCGGGTTGTTATAAACCTGGTCATGGATACACCTCTACGCGGTGACTGGGACGAGTAAGCTAAATTTTTTTTTTTAGCTGAAACTAAGTATCCTAAACGGCGTGTGTAATTTTAATATTTAGAAAAAAAAAACGTAGACTAAATATATAATTTAAATAAAGAAATATGTAGATAACATTTTAGATATATTGTTTCCGAAATTTTTATTAAATGTATAAATTAATAAAAATTGTATATGTAACTAAAATCTATTAATAAAAATTAATAAAAAAAAACGTTCGATCAAAGTTTCTTGAAATCGACAATGAAATTTAAAGTGTTTGAATTTTTTTTTGTAAATTGATGCATTTGCTGACATACATTCGATTCGGTTCGGTTCGATTCGATATGATCTCCGATCTCATAGAACTATTTATCAAAACAAAACCTCATTGACTTTGGAAAATTTTTGGGCTAGTCCAGATTAGTTCGAACTGTCCAATATTTTCTTATTATAAAATTAGTACGATGTAGCAACAGTAACTCGTTTTTTGCCGACATCACGCCAAGTGACAATTTACTAAAAATATATACCAGTCATCTATGAATATAATGAAGTTTTGGTCTATTAACAAAAATTTTAAAAATTTGTTGGATGTTTTTTTACCTGTACCATAATGCTTCAATAAAGATTAGGCCATGTAAAGTTAGTATTTTGTTTCGCAAAAAATTTTATAAAAGTTTATATAATCGAATATCAATATCGATATCGAATCTACATCATCCGTGACAATGATTTTGATTGGTTGAATGATAATATTTTCACTCAGGCACAACAAATTCTCCTTTAAACGTCATAACTCTGAGAGAATTGACAAGAAAGGATTTAAATAATGTACTTGATTCTGTATGCATTCTTTTACCTGTGTAAAACATTAATGCTTAACACTGTTCGGTAGAAAAGTTCAAACCATAATTCAGAACCACGTTCGTGTGAATTAAAAAAGTACAAGGCAATAAGTCCATAATTTATTACAGTGAAGTGGACTTTTGAGTCTTATTGCAGAATTTTCACTTTTGAAGGTATTTATAATTTGATTTTGATCAGAATCAATGAATTAGAGCAGTAAATGAAATAACGATGCGTGATTTAACTATTTATCGAAGGAACATGGTGTTGAAAAAATCCATTATCTTCAACAAGGGCCACTTGAAACCGAAATTCAAAGCTTGATTTATATTTGCAGACCACAAATACTTTATACGAAATATATAGCCGGTATAGATGAAATTTCATGTTCAGTTTTCGTTAATTGATTAAAATATTAAATTTGTCATACTTTGGCTGCTTTCCAGAACACATCCAGCATTACCAAAATGAATACGTAGAGAATCCCAATGCTGAAAAGTATGAATATACCCTCTTTTTGTTCCACGTCGAGCAATGATCTGTCAAAAAGTTTTAGAAGAAGCTGGTGTCTTTGGTGATATCCTTGATATTATGAATTTTACATAAATTTTGATGAATTATCGGTTCAAAATGTATCCTTGACTAATGATTTTACAGATCACAATTAACGAGTATCACCTAGATCTAATACCTTTTGAAGATGATTTATTATCCTTGGAATTAGATAACACGTTTAAAGAACTTTATTTGGTATCCATTTTTTTAACTCTAATCAATTTTAACACAGTCAAATTTAATAATTATTTTTACATGGAAATAAAAAGGATGGTGATTATACTTCAATTTATTACGTGGCGAGAGCGCTCATGAAATTACAGACGTCTTTTGGTCTATTTCGAAGAATAATAAGCAAGGGAGATTGTGCCAAGGTTTGAATTTTTATATATGAATCTAACTATTGATCTACTAAATAGTTACTTATAAATATTCTCTTTGATTTAGCATCTTGCTGATATGCTCATTCGTATGCGTCGTGAGGTTGCTGTAGATGATCTATCATCTTCATTATCGATCTCTCAAAGTGTAGATTCACTTATCATCACCGATAGATCGGTTGACCTCATAACACCTTTATGTACTCAATTGACCTATGAAGGATTTATAGACGAAGTATTTGGTATCAAAGCTTCACATGTGGAAGTGGATTCTTCGATCATGGGCCTGCGCAAGCAACTACAGTAACGTCTAGCACTCCTTCTCAGTCATAACCACCTATTTAACCTCAGTCAAAAAAAAAAAAAAATTTTGCTCTCAATTCTGGCGATAAATTATTTGCCCGATTAAGAGATATAAATTTTGCAGTAGTGGGAGGTGTTCTTAACAGAGTTGCTAAAAGAATAAACGAAGATTATGAGGTTTATTTTATGTTTATGTATTTTTGTGTTATCAATTAATGAACTTTTTTATAAAAATTATATTTATTCATTTTGTATATTTATAGGAAAGACATAAAGCTAAAACTGTAGTATAAATTCGTGAATTCACAAACAAATTAGGGTGCCTACAATTAGAACATCAATCTTTAAAAATTCGTATCCTTTTTTTACGAGTTTAGTATTTAAATTTTCGTATACTTCTTTATAATATTTTCCTTAACATATAATCAGATATTAGTATAGCTTAAGAGATAATGGCGCATACTGTTACACCAGAATTCAACAAGCCCTAGAGGTGCAACAAAGTATTTATATATATTTATTTAATTCACGTTCTTTATTATTATAATTTTACAATTGATTTTAGGATTTTAATGATTTTAATTGCCATTATTTTTATAGATTTGGTAGCTGGTATAGATGTTAACACACAAATGAACACATAGAGGAAATGATCAATCGACAGGTTCCACTTGTTTAAGTTTTACGGTTATTATGTCTACAAAGTCTTGTAAATGGTGGATTGAAGCAAAAGAGTATCGAATTTTTCAAAAAAGAAATACTACAGGTATAGGAGACTATTGTCAAAAAAAATCTTCCATTTTTAATCATTAAATAAATGACAGTTATTATCAATGTACTAATATAGACATACGGGTTCGAACACCTTCAAACGTTACTGAATCTTGAACGTCTTAACATGTTCTCTAAACACGTCTAGTCACAATCCATATGCTTCTATTCGTAAAACTTTGCGATTAATTGTGGATGAAGTTGAACATAATGCTCCTTTAAGCGTACGTTTGATACAATGCGTGACGACGACCAATAGTGGATCATCTTCGACTGGTAATGGATGGAAAGGATATGAAGAGGTGTTGAAAATGTTGCCAGGTAAAAAACTTTCGATGAAGTACAGAGGCAAAAGGAAGGAGCCATACGTCCCAAAAGTAAGTACACACCATATGGGGATGCAGGGGATGGGACTATATATTATATAGTCCTATCCCTACTTTGCTGTGGGTGTCCCATGTTTGATTTATAAATATACCGTAGTCAATTTTATCGGATTAGGAATGGTACAAGGACAGCATTCACGTGTCACACTTGCATTCTTCTTGGGTGGATGTACATATGCGGAAATCTCTGCAATACGCTTTTTAGCACAAGATGATGGTATAAATTTTACTTTACGTTCTTTCTCATTGTTCGAAGCGAAGCAAAGGATCTGCATTTGGCTTCGGACACTAGTTTCTATTTGTCTATTTTATTGAAAATTACTAACGATGCATTTATTAAACTTATTTAGGTCAGCGATAATATTTTATCGCAATCATACAAATTATCAATGGAAATTCCCTATTGAATTCAATGTCTTAAAAAATAAAGCCTCTAAGTTACAGTAAATAGGCTTGGCTATGAGTTAGTGGCTCTTTTTTTATTGTATCTTAGATAAGTTATTAGGTAAATAGGTTTTTTCATTGTATTTTAGATAAGTTATTAGCTTTTGGGAATTTGTATAATTTTCAAGTGCCGTGTACTACAGCTAATAAAGATGAGCCCACGCGCGAAATGCTGGCATCGTCCTCGTGCGAATCTATCATATGATATATCTCGCGCGAAATAAATTCTTAATAAAGAAAATCTTAGTAATCAATGGTAAACGCAATTTTTTTTTTTTATTAAGATAATTGAACTAAATTCCTTTTTTTAAAAAAATAAAATAAGCCTATAATCTGTTATCTCACATTTCGCGCGAGTCTTATGATATGCGAAATATACACTAGGTTTATAAGATATATTTATATTATTGGCTATATGTACTAACAAAAATTTGATACGATACATAGATTTATTGTATAAATTCGTTAAATTTATTCAGAACCCTCAGTGTGCTATTACATAAGGTTTCGATATAGAAGCTGGAAATGATTTAAAAAAATATAAACCTTACCAAAATTAGGGATGTTAAGTGGTGCGTCTGGTTCTGTCCCGGTCCAGTTCCTGAAAAGTCTGGTCCAGGACTAGTTAAAAACTAGTTTACCCCTGCCAAAAACTAGTTCACCCTCCTGCCAAAAACAAGTCCTACCCTAGCGGTTTACTATAGATTTTAAAATATTTTTTATTACAAACTAATTTTAACTTAGAGTATCTGGTGTTATAGAACAATTTATTATTATTTTATTATTAGTTATTATTATTATTATTATATTATTATTATTATATTATTATT